CAAATTTGTCTACAAACTTATGCCCTCCTTCATTCACATTAATATTTACTACTCCAGAATATGTGTCTCCACATTATACTGCTAAACCCTACTAAAATCAATAGCCTGCACCAGGCACGGGGACTGAGTGCGGTAAAGTGTCTCTCACGACCACAAAGGGCCCAATCCTGCAAGATGTTAGGTCTCTGCATAAGGTGCCTTTTTCTTTCCAGTGTGTTCAGCACTCCCGAGCGTCGAGCCTTCAGCTGGGAAGTCAGCAAACAAGCTTGTCCGTGTCCTGAGAAACACCGGGCTTTCCAGAGTCTCCAAAGGCAGGGAGGGCACCCCAGGGTGGCCACTGGAGCCATCAGCACCTGCTCCCCTCCAGCAAAAGCCACATCTGCATCAGTGGTGGCCCCAGAGAACAGGCTGGTGCTTCTCTCATGGAAAATATTGCTCATGATTACAGTGATGGGGATTGGCTTATGGATACCTGATTAAAGTATAAAATGTGCTGAGTCGACTGATGCCATTGACAACTGAGCCATATGAAATTAAAAGCCGTATCTGTTTGCTATTACATCAGAGGAAAAGCCAGGAGTGGAAAAAAACCCTGGAACTTGGCAAATCTCATTTAATCACATCTGGCAATTTTCTAGTCTGAGTGATTATCACTGTTGGATATCATATTTTTAGAAAGTAAAGCAAACAAAGAAACTAGAGCAAACAAGAGTCAGAAAATAAAGACCCTTTTGAAAAAAATAATTCTTGTTCACCTTTTGGCAATATTATAGGTCATGCTTGGGAAAAGGGTATTTAAAGCTATTCTCCAAGAACAGTCACATTTCAATTTAGTTTAGGATTAGTGACAGATGGCTACATGCTAGAGGGGTGTACAACACTCCTTTGAACTTGTTTATCTTGAAAGAATGGGGAAAATTTTAATCACTTTTTTTTTTTGTGGTCATTGCAAGAAATACAAGAAATACCCAACAACTTTGACTAGCTTCAAAGGTCTTTCACTGGTCCAGCAAAAGCAGAAATATAAAAAAAAATCCTAAAATGTGAAAGGGTGGAGAGGTATACTTAAGTTTATTCCCAGCCGTGAAGGTCTGTGACAGTGAAGTTGACTGCATTTGTTCCAAACAAATTGTTCTATCTCAAGGCTGAAAAAAATAAAATGTCATTTAACTTGAAAATGTGAAACTTTTGTATTTGGAAAAGTTGAAATGAGATGCTTCGACATCTTCAAAACTCTTTCTTTTCAGAAATTATTCAGGTTAGTAGATATATGAAAGCTGATCACATTTCACAGATAATTTTGGTAAACTATCCTTTCCTTGCTTTGAGTTTTTTTCTCTCCAAACAAGGCAAGGCAAGGGTTCCCTGAAACATTTTGAATCATTTTCTAGCTAATAGCAGTAAGGCAATATTTGACAAATCTCAAGCCTGTCTGCATGAATGGGTTCTGGTGATCTCTTGCTCATCCTGAGAAAGCAGCAAGAGACGCTAGCCCGGAGCGTGACGGGGTGCTGGATGCTGACGTGCAGCTTTTGCGTGGCAGCTGAGCGGCAGCTGCTCGGCTCACACCACCAGCGAAGCAAACTCAGGTCCGTCTGCACAGGCCTGTGAGGTTGTGCCTTCAAAGAACTAGTGTGGGAACAGTGAATCTCATAAATGCAGTTATAGCTTAACCAGAAACTGCTGGGCGCTCCCCAACAGGCATGGAGTAGAAGCAATTTCTAGCGGATATGAGCTGTTGTTGAGAAAAAGGCGTAAGGAAACTATGGCCATGATGGGGCAAGAGAGACTGGGAGGTCTTTCTGTTCCGCTCAGTCCTATTCAGGTTATTTCAGACACACTTAAAGAGTCAGCTGCTTATGCTCTGTAATGGTGGATGAAGTTGCCTGGGGAGTTTTAAGAGCCTTGCTTTGGACATGAAAGTATGGGAATCTTCAGAAGCAGTTCAGAACAGAATTGCTTCCTGTAGCTAGGAACAGGCTCTAGTTTATTCATTGGTAGATGGATATCACAGTAGGAATAAAAAAAAAAAAAGAATTTGAGTAATCAGATACTCCCTACATTGCCACGAAGACTGATGCACCAAGCACCGTGGCATTTGAGCATCATACAATGCCCTAACTAACAAACTATCACCTGCTCCTTGTTTATCTGTCTTTGCCAGTCAGGGAAGAAACTGTGAGAAATTTCTTCAAAATTGTTTTTCTTTTTTTTGTGCAATTCAGTGTGGGTTTTTTTTAGTGGAAGTGAATTCAAAGGAAAGAAGCTTTGCACTTTGAAGTCTTTAGTGACATTTAAGATAGCTCAAGTCAAACAGAGCTATAGATCTAAGGCACTTGTCTAGTGTAAATGTAAATATTAATGCGCAAAAATCTTTGATTCTATTAAGGTTAAATCCAGACAAAACCCTATAGTGTAGACTTACAATTTGATGACTAATATATACACATAACATTTCAATAAACTTAACTGAGTCACTCTGAAAAGTAATATATAATCCACAAATGTCAATAGAAACCCGAGACCTGCATGGCTAAGCCCAGGGAAGTTGTTTTTCTTCAGAAGTCTGCTCTTGGCCTCACTGCTATGAAGGTGCTGCCAATTCATACTTCCAGTTTCAAATCAATATTTTCAATGCTTTTGCATAGGGATACATGTTGAGAGTCAGTGGTGAATCATTTCATTTTCCACTCAGAATATTGGTAACAATTACCACACTCTTCTGTGCAGGTTACTCTGCGTGACCTATGAATTTCAAAAGGCAAAGGTAGGGTTTGTCTGCAGAGGGATACTGAGGGACATTAGTCTGAATTAGCTGAAGATGGGAAATTAGAGGAGATTAGTTAAATGGCATTAACGTCCTCATGGAGCTTTTGATGCAGAATAAAACCTGAGATGTTAACTTAAATAAATGAAGCAAATGGCTACAGAATGAATTAAGCCCATCTTAATTCTCAACCAAGCCACCCACAGAAGGGTTGACTGTGTATTTACCTAATTCGCGCTTGGGCCAGCAGACATTAACACATCCATGTAGGTAAGTTCTAAAAATAACAAACACGCCAGCTCTCGACGTAACATGCTGGCACCCACTGAAGTGGCAGCCCCTGCTCGGCTCCCCTCGAGCGGCCGCTGGGCAGGTCCGGGCGTGCGGGCAGGCGGCGCAAAGCCCCGGCTCGGCGCCTTGGTCAGAGGCGAAAACTTCAGAAATAAGAAAAACAACTTCCCTGGGCTTAGCTATACAGGTCTCGGGTTTCTACTGATGTTTGTAGATTATATATTGCTTTTCAGAGTGACTCAGTTATGTTTATTGAAATGTTATGTGTATTTTGCTGAGTCAGCCCAGCATCCTGGACTGAGCATAGATGCCTGGATGTTTATGAACCTGAACTTTGCCTGGTCCAACAAAGGAAAACTAGAATTGTTTTAAACCTTTTCTCTGCCAGTGCATTTGAACTGTGGGAGTGCTAACCTATTGGAACTGGTTCCAACTACTTAAAAAAAAATTCCTACTAATCCATTAAAAATCTCAAAGCTGGATACTCCTGAAATTTTCCCACCTTAGTTTTCTCAAAACCCTGTCGTATTAAACAGAAAAACAGTCTGACCAGAGTAGTGTTCATAATCATACTTCTTTTTCAGCTCTTAGTACAGGCGATACCTATCATGCAAAGACATCAGCTTAATCCAATATTTTTAACCAGCAAAAAGTCATTCAGAGGAAAAGGAGCGTACCTGAGTTAAAATCAGGAGTCAGCCTGAAATAAACAATAGTAAGAAAAATTGTTTAGGGTTCACCCTGAACTCAGGGACCACTTGCTGATGCTAGAGCCAGAAGATGTTACCCACACTCGGGTGTGCGCAGCTTCACACACTGCATCGCCCTGTTACTCTCTCTCATCGTTACCATTCACACGAGTTAGAGCACCGGTAGGTAATTTTTAATTTATGATCATTATGCTGCTGAATGTATATTTCATTGCCATTGAAAGGGACAGCTACTAGATCATGTGGTACAGACAGATTTTGCTGTATCAGGAGTGCCCGGATCACATTTTGAATGCCTCCTAATACACCGGCAGGCTAGAGATCTGTAAGTGGAAACACAAGACGATGAAACAACACGTGCAGCTGCAACAGAAATTATTGATTAACTGTGTCAGCGCAAATGCCCTGAATTTGAAATCATAAAACCAAACATTGCTGGGTCTTAATGAAACCTCAAACCCAGATTTGCATTTGAATACCTTCCTGAGCTGATGCTGTATGCAGTTGAGAAGTCTCGAGCAAAAGACTGGGCCATGTCCCTTGAATTTTAAGAAAAACTGAAGCTGTACCTCATTGCAGCCCAGGCCCCTCTCTGCTGTCTGTTCGCTTCTTCCTTCATGCACACCTTTGCACACTGTGTGCACCCATAATTATATGACTGAAAATGCAGGACATCAAGGAAGAAAGGCAGAACCGGCTCAAAAAACACTGAACTGATCACCAGGCCTAACTTCAAACGGACAGAATGAACAGTCACTTACTCCTCTAACAATCACATTAAATACATCGTATGCTTCCCGTAATAAAACTACGCTGGAAAATCAAGCATGGTTTTTTTGACCAGGAATATAATTATTCCTTTCAACATACCAAGTTCTGGAATTAGATCAAGACACACAACCATGAATTTACTTGGGGAGAGTAATATAATTAATGATGTGCTTAACAATCATAGAATCAATTATGCTTGGCAAAATAAATGTGTTTAAAATCTGCTAGAGTCAAAAGATCGCTTTCAAAATATGTTTATTGAAATGAAATCTGAAAAAGATAACCCCTCCCCCTACAAATTCAACCCACCAACCTGAAGCCCAGAAAGTCTGGATAAGGAAAACAGTGAGCCAATAAATCTCTCTGCACTAGTAGGGAATTTAGGAATTATAAAAGCAGAGAACTTCAATAAAAAAGATACATTGGTATTAACATCCTGGCAAAATGATTCTGCAGAACTTTAAGCACTTGGGTTTCACTGCTGTAAAATGTGTTCCAAAAGCACGCAGACAGGGCACCTGCCCGCTACGGCAGCCAGGAGCTGTAGCAAGCAAAAGGGGGGCGGACGTTGTAGGGGTGCTCCAGAAGAGAGGAGCAGGGGCTAACATCATCCACGTGAACTGATGCTGCTAAAAAACGCAAATGGGGAATGCAGTGGGAAGCGGCTCATTTGCTCACCGAAGGACATCTGTTTGCTTGGTTTCCATAGAGAGGAGAGAAAAAAATGTCCTGACCTTGCGATTTCCGGCGGGTCAGCACAGCGGGGCAATTGCGGGTGTATCGCTCACGGAGGAGTCACCAGCCAAAGGCTGGTTAGATACGTTCCCATTCTGTTTGTTTGTCGTACGTGATCCTGGTAACCAGTTGCTGCGATATGGACTTCCACTGTTAATCAAACACTTGGCATCATGCTCATGACTAATGTAACGTAAAATGTTTATTTTCCTGATGTAAAGCATCCTCTAATGGCAAATATCATCTCCTAATGAAGCGTGGTGATCCTGAGGCCAAGTGCTTTTTCTGGCCTCCCCCTGGGGGAGCCGAGGGAGATGAGCACCATGCACCCCAGAGTGAGCCCCCGCAGCCCTGCTCCGCTCCCCTGCACGGGCGGGACATTCAGCCCGCAGAGCAAAGAGGTTTCTCCTGTCAATAGGAGGCTGGTTGGGCCGTCAGCTGCGGCTGTCTCAGCCTTCCCCCTCTGGGCTGGTAAAACGTACCCTGATACATCCTCGCCTATCACAGAATCGCAAGGGTTGGAAGGGACCTCGGGAGATCATCTATCCTTCTCATTCAAATGAGAGAGCTTTGGTCAGATTGAGTGCAAATAAAGCACAGCTCACAGAGGCGTCTCTTTGCTTTCACAGTACGAAATGGCTTGGAAAAAGAGCTCAGAAAGGTCTCTGACTCCTTACTTACCTTGTTAGAAAATCCAATACTTTTGATTCACGTGGCAGAAAACAGGCAGTCACAGAAGTGAAGGAAGAGCAAATGAAGCGCACAAGGCTGACATCGCGCCCTGCAAGCACAGCGTATTACACTTGTAAATAGTGTCCTTCCTGCCCTAGTGCGCCAGGTCGGGAGCTGCAGAGACGGGGAGAAGGCAGGGGAAGACAGGTTAGGGGAGTCAGGCTCCAAATTTGGGGCAGGTCAACGTGAGAAACTGACTCTTGAATGTAGTGATGGGAGGCACAGGGAAGGCTGAGATGGTATATGAAGTCAGAGATGAAACAAAAGATACTGCTGTTGAAAAAGGACTGCAAAAACCTTATAGTATTTCAGTTGTGTACCTGAAAAACCAGCCTGCTTTCACTCCACAGGGGGAATTGAGGTGTCTAGGCTGGGAGTACATGCTTTGGGGAGTTGCCTTTCTCTTCTTAGCAGTCTACCATATATTTTAATATTTTTATAAAGCCTGAAAACTTTGTATTGTAGAAAAATGGCAGACTTGCATAAAGCAGCAAATGATTCTCAGCATAAAGAGCCTGGCTGTGGTGTGCGTTCACACGTGCACCCTGACATGGCCTAGTACTTTCTCCTGCAGAAGATCGATCCTGACCCTACATGCTATCTGATTCTTTTCCCCAATCTGTGCCTTTAGCTGCATCAGAAACCCTGCCGCGCCATCCCAGCTGCTGCCATAAAGCAAAGGGACTCCATAACCTCTTTCTCTGTTGGCAGGTACGAAGGTGGATTAAGAGCCCCATGGTCAGCGTTGAAAAGCACCCGCACGCCAGCCTCAAATACCCGGGGTCCACTGTGATGCATTTACCTCCAGGGGATTCGGAGCTGGAGCCTCCGCTGTGCCAGACCTGCCTGAGCGACCACCCTTTCCAGCGAGGGATCGCTCCTCAGGAGGCCGAGTCCTGCTCCTGGGAGAGCCAGAGAAGCAGCAAAGTAAGCCGCTCCTTCCTCCCCCTGCTCTGTTGGCATGTTTCACACTGATAACGGGTCTGTACTTAGGAGATTGTGCTTCCCTCTGAGAGAGGGGATCATCCAAAATCCGAAACTCTTGCTGACCAAGGCTGTTGTGCGCATCTGGGCTCTGCTTTCTACCTCGAACTTTGGTACCCACGGGCAGCACGAGGAACAAAGGCTTCTTCACAAAAGCGTTCTGGTGTAGCCTCTCAGTATTTGAATGGATTAGTAGCAACACTAAGTAGTATTTCCCTGGTTTACAGAAACCAAGGCGCAGAGAGGTGACATTATCCTTCCAAGGTAGTGAAAAGGACCAGGAAAAGAACCCCACACTTTTTCCTTTCTGTCCCACCATTACAAGACCAACCTTCTTCCCCCCACCCTCACCATATCTAGCTTTCTCTTTAGAAATAAGGATTTGTCTCAGGGAGTTTGGCTCACAAGCGGGAGCTGAACAATTCAGTGGGTCTTTTAAGCAGAAGGGAAACCCTGGTTTGCCTCGAGTCATGCCGGTACGTTATAAACGACAACTTCATTCTGCATGTGGTGCTGGGCAGTTGCGCACAGCTGTGAAGGTGGCAAAGCTGCAAGGGCTGAGATGAAACAGTCGGAAAGGGGCTTTTCTGAGGCAGACTTTCAGACCTTTCACTCATCGTTCAGCTCCACCTAATCCCCGTGGAGAAAAACCAAACACAGAACAGAAAGTTTTGCTCAGAGCCCGTCATCCCTGACAGAACCATCCCTGCCTGGAAACGGCACACACAAAAAAAGGGGAGAGTTGTAGAAACATAAAAGCAAACAAATAAGACTCTTTCCAAGTACAAAGCAGAGCAAATGTGACAAGGCATTTATCAGAGCCTTAGCACACAGCTCACAGCAGAACCATTTTTTCATGCTACATCTGCTGCATTTTTAAACAGGGAAATTCAAGCAGCAGGTAAAAATGGAAGCCCTGCGCATTTCAGAAACCCAGCAAAGGCATTTTGGTGAAACATATGCACAAGCAGAGGAGCTAATTACTCCTCTATTTTACTTCATTAAGAAGATTAACTTTGCTCAGGCTGAAGCATTAAAAAACGAAAGCACTAAAGGCGGAGGATTCTGCAAATCCTTTGCCTTGCTGTAAATCACATGTATTCCTCCTATACAGCTGTAGGGCCTCACGACTGATTTCCATTAGGTTTTACATGCATATGGGATAGATTTGGCTGAACGCAGATTCCCCCAGACCTCTCTCTCGGTCTCCTTACTGCAGGCAGTGGAGAGGCTGCTTAGTCAGCAGCTGGAGTCTGCAGCAAGAGGGATATTTTGCACGCCGCTTTAAAAATAATGTCGTCTGGCGAAAGACTCCTTGGATGAAGCTATCCTGCATAAGGAGTCTTTTAAGTAAGTTGAAGCACAGAGTCTTTGATGTGATTAAATGCAAGGTCACTGCCTCTTTCTCTACAGTAAAACCAGGCAGGAAGCTTTTAATAATAAAGACTGAAGGAGCTCCGTGTCTGACCTTTTCCAGGTTTAAAAAGAGTTGCTGGGTGAGATTCTGTTCAGGGGTTACAAATGGCACAAGCTGCATAAATGTGAAATAACTCCCTTCACTTTAAACCAATGAACTCGAACAGAGACAGTCTGTATTTCAAGGAGAAGAGAACGTGGTCTCTGTTAAGTTGGCAGGGAGCTTGGGGTGAGCCAGTCGCCTCTAATTCTTGTCTCTATTTCCCCATCACTCTTTCTCCTCTGTTGATTTCAGTGTTGCAACCAGGTACTGGTTCAGTGAATGTAGTTCCTTTGTGCTACGCCCAACGCCAACACATACAAGGGTCCTACTGACCCTGTCATTTTGCTCAAGGGCAAATTAATTCATAAAGAAATCAGCTGTGAAATATTATTAAAGGCTTATTTTAGGCAACAAGCTTTCTCCGACATGTTTCAGGCTATTCTGATCAGTTTGAAAAAGGCCTTATAAAAAACAATCTGTTCACCCAAGGGAACACGTGTCTGTATTTCTATTCTTGTTTCCAACACAAAAAGAGGGAAAAAATCATTACTGCTTGTTTACAGTGATGGTAATTATGTAGTAGAGTCTTTAAAAATTGACTTAACGTAAATGAGATTATCCTGAAACTGAAAGTATTTTAAATAATGAGATTTTTTTCTTATGATATGCTTCCATTTTCACCTCCCCAGGCTTTTCTATTAAGGCATGTGTCAGCTGGAGTTTATAAATGATTATTGATGTAACCTCTACTAAGTCTCCTCTATTATTTGTATGATAGTGTATTAACTCTGTATTTTTATGACATTTTTCCACATTGTACACCGTAGATAATTTTCAAGCATTGCCAGAAAACTGTGCTAATTTTCACAAGACTGACTTACATAGGTATATTATTGGGTTTTGTAACCGACGTGGATTAGTTCTATGGAAGCTTATATCTGCTCTACCAGTGTAACAGCTGAAGCCCTGAGGGCTTTGGATCACTGCCAGGGTAATGATTTACAATAACCATTCCTTGCTTCTCCATGTCTATCTACATACTTCAGGTTAGGTAAAACTCACCGGCTTGATGAGGAGGGTAAATTCCCTTTCAGAACAAATCGCTTCTTTGTACGATGAATACCTCGTGTAAATAAGCTGGTTTTGAAAGAGCGGGCAAACCACCTTTTAGACCTTAGCTGTCTGCTTAACAGGGAACTTGGTGAAAATCGGGTGTGATTTAAATCTCTCAGGTGAGGGTTTACCCAGCTGGGTTATTAGAGGTAAATCATACTCACATACACGCATGCACACACAACACACAAATCCTTCATGGTCTGCATGATCTGCATATGCTGCTTACGCTGTGTTGCTATGCCCCTGTTTCAGACCTTTCTCTAACTAAGCAAAAGATAACAGACCTTGTTAGTGAGCTCAAAATATCTTTTTTTCCTCAGAGCCAACAGCTAGGTTCAAGGCTTGTTCTGTTCTTTCCTCTTTGTCTAAAAAAGCTCCTGCTGTCCTATCTATCAGCTGGCATTTGTCCTGAAGCACCACAGACACATCTCTATCTAGTAGACCAAAGCCCGAATGTTTAGAGCTGTCTTTTCTTTCCAAAGCTAAACAAAACCCCTGTGCTGCCCCTAA